GGAGAAGGGATTGCAGCGTGGCCATCCCCCCTGGGGGGTGATTTCTCGCTTTCTGTCTCTTTGTCTCTCTCTGTCTGCCGAGCGCACACGCCCTATAGCAAAACAAACAAACAAAAAACCCACATACTAGTTCCTGCCTCGACCTCTAGGATAGTTTCTAAAGCAAAACCAACTTGAGGCTGTACGTCCAGGCGAAACACCAGAAGTACAAGCGTGTCTCCAGGCTGTTGCTCCAGACCTTCCATCCACCAAGGGCAGACCATGTAGGTAGGCTGGCTGGCCTGAGGGTACACTGAAGCCCGTTTAGCTGTGGCCCTGTCCTAGAGCAGCATTCCGTTCGCTGCTGCCATCTTCAGTTTTGTCTTCAGAGGCGAGGGTGGGGCTCGGGGTGGACCGGGAGGGAGGGAAGTAGGGTGTGTGCCCAGGTAGCCCAGCCAACCACACCTCCTGTGCATGCTTCCCCACCACCCCCCCCCAAAGGGCACATGCGCTCACCAGAAACGGCAAAAGAGGGGAGGGAGAAAGCACCCCTGCATCTCTCCCTATCTCTAGTCTGTCAGGGTTCTGGGTACAGGCATATATGCATCTGGCGTGTTTTTTTAATTTATTTTTTGTTTGCTATAGGGCTCATGCAGGCAAGAGAGAGAGAACTGAAAATCAGCCTCCCCCCCAGGGAGGATGGCCATACTGCAATCCCCTCCCCTCCACTGTCTCGGGACTCTAAGCGCACCCATGTGCCTGGTGTGCAGGGCTCCAGCTGTGTGGTTGGCTATGTGGGGTCCCACTGTCTCAACCACGCTGCCACCTGCTGGCCCCATCCAGCATGTTGTTACAACATCCAGAGCCATGATTCAAACTGGGTGACCAGCCATGTGGGATCTGACTCCCTTACCCACTAGGCCACGGGGTCAACCCTAGTGCAGGCTGACTTCACTGTTGTTCTAGGTGGACAGCACTAAAACACATTCAGACAGACACGACTAAAAATAATCTTCCTGGACCAGGTCATGGTATCATGATAAACTTTGGCACCTAGAGAAAGTAGCAAAATGTCTTAAGTGAAAATAGCACTTAAAAAAAAAAGTCATGGGACCAGCAGTTGGCTTAATGGCTATGTTGCTGGACTACCACGTAGTTGACTGTGGTTCGAGTCCCAGAACTGTTGGCTTAAACTAACACTGGGCACATGTGTGTGTGTGCCCAAGATTCCAAGAGGAGAAGGGACTGGCGTGGCCATCCCCTTGGAGGTGATTTCTCGCTTTCTCTCTGTCTCTTTCTGGCAAGCGCACGCGCCCTATAGCAAAAACCTTTCAAATAAAAAACTGTAATTACTAAGTAATTTTTCACAAGAATGTTTAGATAGATACTAAGTACAGGGCCAACTGGTGGTATGCTGGTTAGGGCATATACCAGTTCCCCACTCCCCCAGCCCTGTGCCAGTGGCTGACTGTGTGGTTTGAGTCCCAGACCTGGTGGCTTGAAATACACACTGGGCCTGCATGCCCTAAATCCTGAGAGGAGCAGGGAAAAGGTATTGCAGTATGGCCACTCCTGGCAGGGAGGAGGGCAGGCTCACGTTCCCTCTTTTGCACTTTCTCTTTTCCAGCAAGCACAGGCAACCTATGATAAATTTAAAATAACTCAAAACAGAAAAATGATTTAAGTACCTGCAAGAAATTGGAAGGTTTCTGATCCCGCAGCAGCATTTGCTAAATCGCTGTAAGTCAGCGCTTTCCTTTCCTTCCCACTGCCGTGTCTGTAGGAGTGAGTGGCGAGATACTGAACAAAAAGTTCCTAGAACAAAAATAAAAAAGCACAGGTAAGGCATGCTCTGAAAACATACTGGACAGCTTAGTTTAAAATTACGTTCAGTTTAGAATTACGGTAAGACTTGGCATTATCTTGGCCTCCCAAACTAAGTTACAGGAAATCACTGGGGAAAGGAGAAACGTGAAGTCAGAAATGAAGACCGTGTCAAATTGGCAGGGAAGTAGGTGTTTGCCCAAGCTTATTTCAAATGTCTGTTCATAAAGATAAATTTGAAAGTGACTAAACAATCAGGTATCACTAATGACCAACTTAAACAGTAAGAGAAAGGCATAAGAAGACCATTGGAAAATTATATGTGGCTCTGGAACATTTTATTAGTGACCCTTAAAACTTATTTATTCAGGATAGTGCACACATGTGCAAAAGAGGGAGGGACGAGGAAAGCACCCTCTGTAGTGCGTCTTCACCCAGACCTCCAGCTCGAGCTCGGCCACTGGCCCAAACCTGGGTCCAAACATCAGCCACGTGGCTCCCAGCGTAATTCAGGCCACCAGGAGGGCCTTCTATTTGAACACACCATTTCTAAGGTGGGCCACCTAGAACTACAGTAGAGTCAATCTATAGCTGAAAATGACCATTTCCCCTTTTGTGTTGGGAACTAACAATGTATCATCCTCAGACTGACCTAGAGCAGCACCCTAAACTAAGCTCTCAGTTCTCCACTGGGTTCAGCACGGGAGGGATTGGAGAAGTGCCTGGGTACATCGCGAAGGCTCTGAGATCACTTGGTGAATAAGGAATTATTGTTAAGAAAGCAATGGCTTGGAGCCATGGGTAGCAGTTACAACTGCTGGATTCCCACATGGCCAACTGGTTCAAGTCCCAGACCTAGTGGCTTCAAACTCATGCTGGGCGCGTGTGTGCCCAGGATCCCAGAAGGAATGGAGAAGGGATCGCGGCGCGCTGCCGCCCCGAGATTCCTCACCTTCCCTCTCATTATCTCTGTCTGTCTCTGGTCACGAACCCTGTGGCCTAACCTTTTTTAAGAAAAGAAAGCAAACATGGCCCTGGCATAAAGCAGGCCAGAAGTCTGTGACTCCCCACTTCTCTGAGCTCTCGTCCACATGCGTAGTGGGGACACCATGCTGAGCCTGAGGGGCGGGGGACAGAAGGCAGAGTCAAAGCAATGCACGTGTGGCTTAAACGCCAGCAGCTTCGTGCTACCCCGAAGAGCAAATGAGAAAGGACACAATTATCTCCGAGCACCCCGGGGGAGTGGGGCAGCCCTGAAACGACCCTGGGACTTCTCAGCTGGCTAGGGGATGGCTTGCCCAGACGTGGGCGAGGTCTGGCGGGCTCAGCCGGCGTCGTCCCTGCGGGTGGAGCGCCCCGTGGCTTCCCCCGGCCCTGGGCGAGCGCGTGGGCGCGCCACTCCACGAGGCAGGCCGCACGCAAGCACGGGGAAGGTCGTGCCGCCAGGCCTCCCAGCACGCGGCGGAGCGCAGGCGCACAAACCCGAGCTGCCGCGCCAGTCCGCGTCTCCACCCAGGGCGCGCGCTGGGGGCAGACGCCGCGCGAGGGACGGCGGGAACGACGCGG